TAGCTAGTCACAGGTTCTTGGCTTGCAGAGTGAGTCACTGTGAAGCATGTTGTCTTGGTTTTCACGAAGCTTTGCAGCTGCGAAGGTCATGTCTTCAGTCATGTGGTTTTCTTGTGAATAAGGGAGGAGACAATTTTTTAAAAAAATAATCTAGTGACATATTTCTCAGACTTGATATTCTAATAACCACTCCTCCAGTGTCTCTCATAAGGTAGTCTCCCATGTCATTAGAGCCTCTGGTTAGTAAACCTGAGAATTGTTGCAAAAGCTCATCTCGATTACAAGTTATGTTTTTCTTCACGAGGCAGTCACCAGGGATATTTTTACATGTGGACCAAACCCTACACTACTTATGAGCCTAGAGACTGGGCAGTTGGGCCTGACCCTTAAATACAACCCCTGCTGCATCCTTGAAGAGAGTGGTCCTTACACAAGGATCTCAAGAAAAACTCATTTCTTTTTTAAGACTCTCTTTAGCCTTGAAAAACTAAAACTAGGCATTGTTTAAGTCAAGAAACTAACAACAGAGTATTCATCTCCCTCTTCAAGCTGCCTACCACAGATTTTCTTCCTGACCTATATTAGAGAGAGTCAATAATTCTAGATTAAGATCTTTATTTAATAAATAAACATGCATTCCTCTTGTCTGCTCTATCTCTTCTGGTGGAGTTGCTTTCCTATAGAATTTAGGTTGACAGTAGGTTGGTAGGTTTATTGTGGCACTGATGGTCATGAGTTCTCAGATTAGGCACACACACACACACACACACACACACACACACACACACACACTTCTTTGAGGCTGTGACTCTCTGAAGTTGAGGTAATGTCCAATGTGTGAGTCAGGAATCTGCCTTGCTCTAACAGATGATACAACCCCTGCACCCCTTGAGCACTACCTTCTAGAATTGTATTTCATGTTGTATGCATAGCCACATACACACTTAGCATGTGATATGTGTTCCTTGTTATCCAGACCCACTGAAGGAATGTCTACAACCCAGCCTCAGCTGTCCCTGTGGCTGTCCCTCTTGTTTAGAGATACTCACTGGTTCCGTAAGGAGTGGCTAACATTTGAGGTTAGGACAAAGGCATGCCATTGTATTTTGTCTCTCACCTAGTTGCTAGCACTCAAAAATATCCAAGGTATTTCCTCTCAGAGGCAGCTTTAAAAATCCTTAAATATACTATAAGCCCAACTGTCTGGTGGCTTTTGAAGACAGAAATATGCTTTGCTTATACATTTTTCACAAAAGCTAATGCCAGGCTTTTGTCTCCTGTTGAGGGTGGTTGTCTTTCAGTGAGGACTTTGGTAAATCCCTTTTCATCCTTGGCTTCTCTGTCTCTCAATAAGGCTTTCCTTGGGGACTTTAGGCTCAGGTACTTGAAGGTGACTTCCAGGAGTATGATAAAGACAAAGTGAGGCAGGCTTTGTAGGTAGCAGGGTCCTGGGTATACTCAGACATTTAATCAGCATGCAGCAAGATATGGTGAGTGACAGTGACTTTTTACTTAGCACCTATTATACACCGCATGTGTCAGTCCATACATAATCCTCATGATAGCCCTTTGAGACAGACAATATTATTCTCATTATATTGGTGGAGAAACTGAGGGTTACACAATTAAGTTACTTGCTGAGGTTCACACAGATAATAAACTATGTAGCAAGCTTTCCACACTAGGTCTGCCAGGTCCTAATCAGTACTACACTGGATCTCAGTGCAAAGGAACTTTGTATGGCTCTGGACTTTTCTTCCCCCTTTCAATTGAAATAGGTTCATCCTGCATGGGGGTGGGCTATGATTTCATCAAGGGTAACTCTACTCTGACTCAAAAGTCACTGAAAATTTGAGGCCCAGAAAGTGATACTTAAGGGCTAGGGAGATAGTTCAGTTGGTAAAGTTCTTGCCATGCTAGTATGAGGACTGAATTTGGGGAGAAGTGGCATGGTGGTATGTGTGTATCTCCCAGTGCCAAGAAGGTTGAGACCAGATGGAATTCCTTGGCTGGTCAGCCTAACTTTGTCAATAAGTTCTAGACCAGTGAGAGCCCTACTTCAAAAAGAAAATGAAATAACTATGGTATATGATATAGAGATTGACCTCTGACCTCCATGTGTACCTACATATACATATCCATCCCCTGCATCCTTCACAGGCATGCACACACAAGAAAAAATTAAAAGAAATTAACACTCGAGACTGAATCTAGATGACTTTCATCTTATAATGAGTCAGTGGGACTGTTCTTCTGATAGGTTAATCAGCCAAGGACAAACAGCAGCTGGTGAAAGATCCTGAGTGTCCACCCAGGGTCTGTAACTTTGAGTGTCTTGGTTGAGACTTATACTCATGGTATGGTCCAAACCAGTGACCCCGGGTCAGTCTCTACACCGAAGAGAGAACTGCCTGTCATGCCTCTTGCCTCTTCCCTCTTTATATAGCCTCTAGAGACAGCTTGCTGCCCATTCAAGCGTTACTGAATCAGGTGGAAGCAGAAGTTAGAACTCTGCAGTTCTAAAGCAGATATAGCTTCATCACATTTTTGTAATTCTAGATTTGCTTGTGTGATTAGTTCAGTAAAGTCTACATATCCCACCTGAATAGATTGCAAGTTCCCCAAGGGCAGGGACCTAGTCTGATCTGCTCAACAAGTATTTGCTAGATAACTGGTCTACCAGATGTCTCTTGGTCTTGGCCCTGAATCAGACATGGTGTATCTGAGATAGGAACCCTTTCTGCTCTGGTGACCTTAGTTTCTATAAAAGGCAGACAGATGCAGCTGGTTTCTCAGGTGGACCTATTTGCTGTCATTTCAGTAGAAAAATACCCAAAATAAAACCTTGCCAGGAATTGAGTCTCTCGGTTCTTGTCATTCCTCTTGTGAGTAGACTTTTGGCAAGTTTCTTGTGGAGGGCTCTATCACCTGGAAACCACCATTGTTTTCAGAGAATTGGCCATCAAGAGAGACAGGATCGCATGGTCCAAGCCAATATTCCAACTGGAGGAAGGAAGGTTAGGATTGGCTCAGGGACCTTTAGATGACCAACCTTCAACACCACATAGGAGAAAAAATGGGGCATATAGAGGCAAGAAGAAGGTGCATGGTGAGGCAAAAACAAGGTCTATGTTGGAATCAGAAATCTTGAATTTGGTTGATGACACCGGTACTGATGAATGCTGTCCTTGAACAATTCAATGCGTTCAAATGAGCAGCACCCTCTACATCAGTAAAAGAAGGGAAGGAGAGTAAATTTCATCTTTTGCTTATTTCAGAGGTTGGGATGCAGCCTCCCATGATATCATTTGTGTCAGAGGCTCTGAGAACTACACCACAGAACATCACAAAACTGTAGGTGAGGATTTCCCAATTTCTGGGAGTTAAGATTATGACCAGAAAACACATTGACTATTGCCACCATTCATTCATCATTAAATGGGTATACATACAGAGAGATATCTGCTGCAGCTTTCTGCATCCTGCTACTCCACAGTGGATTTGGAAACAGGGTAGACAGGTGGCGTGGAAGGCACAGTGGGCACCAGGGGAAAGGAATCCTGGCTGGTGGTATTTGTGAGGAAAGAGTCAAGGAACCTCATCACATAGAGAACTCCACACCAGAGACCTGTGGCTGGCTTTGCCTGAGGTCATGGGGTGGGACACCTATAATTCAATTTGGTGTAAATTGGACAGGAAAATCTTTCTGTAGTCTGTCAAGTCCTTCTGGCCAAAGAACAACTTTCTTCCTGTTTGGAAAAAAGTATCAGCTAGTCTCCATAAATGAAAATGGTAAATTTGAAAACCTTGAGAACTTGACTCTAAGAAGAGCACCTGCAGCAGCATTTCCGTAAAGAATGTGAATAAGCCTGTGGCCTACCTGAGCTCAAGTTTCCCAGAAGACCTCAGCTATCTCAGGCCACCAAGACAAACAAGACTCTTCACATTAAAGTGTCAGCAAGTTTTCAGATTTTGTTTTCAGTAGAAGCTGGGACAAGTTCGTTAGCCCTAGGCTTGAAGTCCTATTGTTCAATTATTTGTTTTGGTTTTGCTACAAGTAAAGAGAGTGTTAGTTGTCTTTCTCCTTAATGAGCTCTATTTTCTTTTGGATAAAATTGAACACCAGCAGTGAAAGAAAACATTCAAAGTGGTTATGGGGTGGGGATTGATACCAGAACTGTCTTAAGTGATAGTATGGGTCATGTGACCTTCTCATCTAGGTGGCTTTCATCTTTCAAAGTGACCCCTGAGGTTCAACTAGTTATGAATTCAACCTTGAGCAGTCTGTCAATCTGGGACAGAAAGGCTCCTAGAGCTGTGAGGATGCCTGTTCTGTGGCTCCCTACGATGTAAATCCCAGTTTAACCTGCATATTACACCGTTTTTAGGGTAGAGCTCTTAACTGTTATCCAGTCTGTTGCTTGTCTGGGGACCCATGGGAAATCTCAATGTGTGAGGCAAGGCTCTTCTCTCAGAAAACACCTGATGGACATGGGCTCTTTTAAAGCTATTCTGAAAGACAAGTTACTGATGACTAGGACCTGGCTCCTGGCTCTTTAGTTGAGTGGGATGTGTATTGTGGTTTGCATGGGGTTATTAAATAAATAGGTGCTGATGGGTTTGCATATTTCCTTAGTGAGATTTTATTATGCCTTCATTGAGAAAACCCGAGTGCTTATTTAACTCAGAAGGAACCTGTGTTCTCTCAGCCTGGTGGAGCCTGAGTACTGATGCCACTGTGCATACAGGTAGCTATATAACCTGTTGGTTTCAAACTGTTGTGCTGTGGTGGAATGGCAGCCCCAGGATTCCTGCAGCAGGTCTGGGTGTGTGACAGGGGAAGTGAAATGCCCTCTGCCGACTGTTTATGCCTCTAGATCTTTTACTGCTCTTTTTGGAAAAAGGAAGCTCTCTCTTATGTCTGTGACCAAATGGGTGTGTTTTGCTATCAACTAGCCTTTTAAAACTTTTTTTTTCTTCCTGGAATACATTGGCAGTTTATGGGCAATAGTAAAGAAAGGCAGTATGGTGAACTCCTGTCCAAAGAGATTGCCAGAGGTTATGTTCAGATGGACTGGTTTTCCATTGTGATGGACTCTTCAGGCCTACAGACGCTCAAGGGCTCTTCACATCGCAGGAGGAAGGGTGAGGAACCATCTAGCTTTACTAGAAGGCTGCCCAGAGCTGCAGTTTGATTCGAGAATTATTAAACTCTCTATTTATCACTAGTCTGGATGCTCTTCTTCTCTGATGATACAGTATTATTTCCATTTCTACTTTATTCTCTTCACATACTATTTTAAAAACTGCTATTTTACATTATGTTAATATTTTGTTTAAAAAGTCCTGAACTATTTCAGTGCAGTTATTGCAAAGTTATGTCAGTTCAAGGACTCAGCAGCCCCAAGTTAAAGCAATGGTGACTTTGGACAAACTTCTTTTCTTCTTCCAAATTTCCATAGTGGGCTCCATTCTGGTGCTGGCAGCAGCTGAGGTCACAGTGTTTACTGGGGAATTATGCTGATTGTTACTTAATGTAGATTAGTGTGAAAGACCCCAACTGCAAGTTGTCAGTTTGCAAATATTCTTGTCTATTGAGCCTCCTGGGCAGACATCTTGATGCTTTGGCTTCTCATATTTCAAGGCGCTTTGCAGAGACACCTCAGAAGCAACCCCACTTCTGCCTGCTCAGGGAGCCAGTTACAGGATTCCTTGTCAGCTGTCTAAGGACACAGAGCTGTGGGAGTGTCCCAGCTGTACTAGACCAGTTCAAGAGAGGAAATAGCACCAGAGAGGGAATGGGACCTGGAGGCCTCTAGGCCCTTCCCCAGAATTGTACATGCAAATCAGAGGTCCATGGGTAACATTCCTGTCTGTGATCTGGACTGAGACGTATGCATAGTGTTCCCCAACTGAATTCAGGGTGTGACCATAGTACTTAGACCATCTCCTTCCTTTGGTCCAAAACCTCATTATTTTTTTCTGAGAGTACAGTATCTCAAGTTAGGCTCTGTGCCTGAGGAATGGAAGGAAACCTAAGAAGAGGTAGGCAGAGATTGAGTGACATGTCTGTGAAGAAAACTGTTGTGGTCATGAATGATCCTGAGAAGGGAGCAGCAGCAGCATGAAGCAGCGGCAGAGATGCCTTACTGTCGCTCATGGCAGTCCATACACACTTGTGTCTGTGTGTAGCACTCAACAGTATTCTGTGGACAGGGTGCACAAGCATTGCTGGTGCAGGAGTGCTGCACTCTGAAGGAAGATTTGAGGTTAAAAACATGTCACTGAGAAGTTAAAAACATGTCTCCATTTTACAGATAAGGAAATTGAGGCCTAGAGTCATTACATAAATCTGCGGATTTTCTACTAGTAAGTGACATCCCATATTTGAACGCAGGTAGTTTTGGCTGTTAAGTCTGTTGTCATTGCTGTTTTGAACAATGATGAAGGTGGTTTCAGGGCACAAAATACTATGCTGGTTCTTACGCTCTTACGTCAGCCCAAACCTCTCATTTGTTACATTCATCTCACTGGTAGGTATTGTATTGCTTCTTTCCTCTGCTATACTTTACAACCCACATGTGCAGGGCCCACATCCACGTGTGTCCAGAAACTTTTTGGAAGAATGAGGATGGGAGTAGGGATTCCCTTTTATCACAGAGGACACTAACACGAGGATCATCTCTTACTGGGATGTTATGGAGCAGCTCTTGTGTTAACTAAGGGATGAAGTATCAGAGTCAGGTTTGAAGATGACCTCAGGCATTTTTATATAATTTATATATCTACATAATTTTTATATATCCAGACTCTTTGGCTTAAGTGGATTGTCCAAACCATATTTCTGGGGAGCAAGATCCCAGGTATCTGTATTTTACATCAGTTTCCAGTAGATTTTGCACTGTGGTCAGTTAGGACACCATAGCATATATAGGTCTGATACCTAGTCTGAGAGCTGGGGTCCTGACACTAACGGTCTGCCTCCAAAGGTCATTCCCCTTTGCTTGCTGGCTCTGCATGGCTTCTTTGCCTCCTGTCCTTCAAGACCAGATCATGTTGGTGCTGGGAGCCTAAGAATCCCATGGGAGATCTTGGGCAGCATGAGGCACACATTGTTATCACTATCAGCTGGGTGTTTACTGAACAAAGTTCAGTTCAGGCTGCCCTGTGGATCCGGGTTGAACAGATACCCAGGCTTCCGGGCCTTTGATACAAAGCCTGGGTCCCTGGCCCCTTATCAGTGGAGGATAATGGGTTCCTTATGTGAGTCCCAGAGACCATTGCTTCTTGATCTTGGGTGACCTAGCTCTTGGCCTGCCCTCCATGGGCCTTTCCATCTGTATAGGTAGTTTGTTTCTGATCTCCCAGCAAGAGAAAATGCTATACCTTGGCTCTGGTTTTGTTGATACTTTGGATTCTTGGATTTTTTGACAAAAGGGAACAGAAACATTTTCCCAGTAGCAAGGTGGACACTCCACTCCAGGTCACATGAATCATCACTGGGTATTTGTCTCTTGTACTGAGGATCACCATGCACCTGGCAGACACTTTTTTTTTTTCAGTCCATTAACCCTAAAGGTCCAGGAGAGTTGAAAGGATGATAAAAGGAAGTACATTTGAAAGCACCTCCCAGATGATTAGTTAACGTTCAGCCAAGACTAAGATATAGATAACTTAGGCATGTCTGCCACTTGAGAAGGCAGAGACAAGGCACAATAGATCAAGAAGCTTATAATCTCATTGGAAGCATTTTAAGCTCACATGAACAAGAAAAACTAATCATTACCTAGCAGGCCATAGATTGATTGAATTTGAGAGGTACAGGGTGTAGCTCAGTGGTAGAACACTTGCCTAACATGTCTAAGGCTCTGGGTTATATCCGCAGCACCAACAAAATAAAGAGACAAGGAAACAAATGAAACCCTGTTAGCTAAATGGTTGCTCTGAACCCGATTTTCTATGATACATACACGTTTTCATTTACTCTGACCAACACTCATCTGATAAGAATCTACAGATTAAGAGGCTCAGAGAAATGTAATTACTTTATAGGATCTCATAGCTAGATTGTGACTGAGATGGGATTTGGATCCAGCTATACCTGACTTAAGGCTTCTTGGTGTGATTGTCATCCTTCACTATCACTTATATGAATGCCAATCAACTCTAGACATGTTGGAGAGGTGGATGTAGGAACTCCATGGTCTGCAGGAGCCAGAGAGGTAGCCCCAGAATAAGAATTCTGGCTATCAGATATAGCAATGAAGATAGGGAGGTGAAACACACAAGAACATGCTGACGAGTGTAACCAGGCCTTCTTTGGGAGCTACTTTATGTATCATGCAAAGAGGACAGAAAAATGGTGTTCTGATCCCATTGGGAAGCCCTGTCACTTTTAGACAAATAGTAGAGCCCCAGAAAGTTTGGGGGCAGATGGAGTCTTGGGAGAAATACCCTAGGGAGCCTCACAGAGATTCTCTGTGTTAAGTACAACTTAGAGAGTTGGGCACCAGAGAAAATGGGCACTTGTGGTTGGGGTCATCTGTGAAAGGTCAGGGGACCAGTGACATTCCTCTTTACAGCCACAGCCCCAGAGCAAGCCCCTGCACCACCACGGCCATACCAGGGTGTTCGAGTCAAGGAGCCAGTGAAGGAGCTACTGAGAAGAAAGCGTGGCCATGCCAACAGTGGGACAGCTGGCCCACCTACTGCGGTGAGGGGCTGTTGTGGGGCAGTGTGTCTGCAGTGTGTGTGTGTGTGTGTGTGTGTGTGTGTGTGTGTGTGTGTGTGTGTGCAGTTCCACTTGTCAGGGTGGTAAGGGGAATAGTAGGGCTTCTTGCTTTTATTCATAAGTGGGAAATATCTATTGATGAGGCTTGAGGGAGCCAATGGTTCACACCGTGGTATGAGTTGGGGATTCAGAAAGTTTCTCTAATTGTACAGCTTTCTTACTAAATCGAAACATAAATCCCTCAAAAAAAAAATGCTGGTGGTGGTGGTTGAGGTATGCGGCAGGAGATTTCCCCCTATCATTTTCCTACCCTGGGCCCCTGGGCACACCTGCAGAGAGCTTGCTATAGATAGATAAACACCAATTCTGGTCTTCTCATCCCCTTTCTAGGTGGTGCTGCCCCACCAGCCCCTGGCAACCTACAGCACAGTGGGTAAGAGCTCTTCTCTGCAGCCTTGGTGTCTTTGGGGACCATCTCTGGTAGAGTCTGCCATTTTGTAATTTCATTTTTCCCTACAGGTCCTTCCTGCCTTGACATGGATGTTTCTGCTTCCACAGTAACAGAGGAGGGGACATTGTGTGCTGGCTGGCTTTCCCAGCCTGCCCCAGCCACCTTTCAGCCCTTGACTTCATGGACACCCTACACGGAGTATGTGTCCCACGAAGCTGTCAGCTGCCCCTACTCAGCTGACATGTATGTGCAGCCGGTGTGCCCCAGCTATACAGTGGTGGGACCCTCCTCGGTGCTGACCTATGCTTCCCCTCCACTCATTACTAATGTCACGGTATGTCACACAAACGCAGAGCCCTATCTACTACCCATGCTAATAGTAACCCTTGAGAAAACTCTTGCTTTTCTTGGCTATTGATTCCCATGATTACTGGGTCAACCAAGTTCACTGCACTTTCCAGGGTGACTTGCTCCTGTTCCTACTGACTGGAACTATCTATTCTCCACAGAAGACACTACATGCTTGTATTGGCACACTTTACTCCTGTGGGTTAGGAAGATCTCTTGCTGCTAGTCCAAACCTCCCCAGCTACTCTGAAAGCAGATGGGGTTGTAGGTGAGGTCTGTGTAGGGAGGGTCTGGGTTTCTGTCAGTTCAGAGAACCTAGGGAGTAGTTGTACACTTGTAATGGAAACTACTGTAAGGTTTCCAGGCTGAGCCAAAGTTGATACTACTTATTACTACTCATCAAGGAAACTACTTTTGGGTCAGTCCCTCCTGTAGGAGCTCTCTCTCTCTCTTTCTCTCTCTCTCCCCCCTCTCTCTCCTGCTGTAATATCCTGTTATCTGTGTTCAATGCTCTTTCCCTTTTACTTAGTAGCTCTGTGCTTCTACTTCAATCTCTCTGAATGCAGTGCCCTCACCTATAAAATGGGAAAAATGGGAGATGCTAGCAAGATGTTGATTATTTGGATCAGATGAGCTGGTACATAGGGGAACCATGCTTAGCACACAGACAGGACTCCATAAAAGTTAGTTATTAGCCTCATGTCCATAGTCTGCCAGCCGAGTCAACAAATGACTGCCTTCTAGTGCCAGGTAGGATAGGACACCCTCCCATCCTTGAAGAGTGGAGGAAGGAAGTTCTAGTTTTATATGCTTGGTCCTCATGTATCCAAAAGAATGGGAAACCCTTAAGTATTTGTGGGGAGAAAAGGCCTAGGAGGCCAGTGAACTAGCTGACCTAGTGGTGACCAGCTACACTCTGGGGCTGGAGACAGTGGAGCTGGAACCTCCTGGCTAGACTCAGGACCCACCCTTGGTTGTAGAGCTTGACTTAGCTCCCCCATGTTCCCTCTGTTTGCATCCAGGGTCCAGTGTTACTCCAGAGTCCCTGTTCTCTGCTTCAAAGCACTTGCCTGGCAAGACTTGTGGGAGTCCTCTTATGCCACACCCACCTGGTTACCCAACAAACTGATCTGGGGATGGATCTTTATCAGAGTGAATAGGAAAGAGTTAATTCAACACCTTCCCTAGGCAACTGATTTCCATAGCAGCGGGCCTGGGGTGGAGGATACAGTGATTCCAAGCCATCTCATAACTGAAGATTCTTTTCATTAATGATCCTCTTTCATCACTCCCACCCTCCACTTTGAAAGTTTCTGTGTATCAAACAAACTGTACTTATTAATTTGTTTTGAAATAATTTGTTTTGTCATTTTGTAAATTAGCGCATCAAAGCTGGCTTGAGCCACTGGCTTAGCACCCCTGGTCATTCAGAGATAAGAGCTGCAATTCTATCCCCTTGCAAGGGACCAGCTGTTGCAGTTGTCCTGTATAGGTAGCGGAGTGGAATGGGAACAATTTCCATTTGGATTTTTGAAATAATGGAAGTAGTAAGGGTTTCCCAGGTCCTGTCTGGCTTCAAGAAGCCGAGCTAGGGAGACTGTGCTTACACTGAAAGAGAAGAAATCGTGTGTGCAGTAGATATACACACCAGCTCACATGTTGGGGGTCACCAGCTACATTGTTCAAATAGAGAAATTTCCTGCAGACTTGCTACTCAAACTGTAGTCCCTACACCTGCCACATTAGCATCCTCTGAGGTCTGACTGGACTTGCAGAATCCCAGGCCTTACTCCAAACCTCTGGGGTCAGGATCCAGTTGTGACAAACTCCTCAGGAGGCTGATGAAAATTCTTCCCCAAATGACTCTAGCAGTTTCCCCTTAGATGCCATGGCAGCTGGGAAGATGGTAGGGGAGAGTGAGGATGGAAAGGGAGTCTGTCTTGCATCTGTCCATGCAGAGAACTTCCTCATCCATTTCTCAGCTATGGAAGGATAGTAAGAACTCAAACCCTGCCTCATTGGCTTGAGGTTTGTCTATGGTGTGAATGTGATGTATGCTTTGTGGAGAGCTTGGGAGAACAGTGCCTTGGCCCAGGGAGCGGCTCAGAGCTAGAGGGGTTGAGCAGGTACAGGTGTCAGGCAACAGCAGGAAGAGGTTACATTTGCTGACACAACAGTGCTCCCACCCACAGGAAAGTCGGGCTTCCTGTACCAATCGATACTAGAAGGGCAAGAGCTGAGAGAGCTATGTTGACCTATGGGGATCCAATGATGTCAAAGGTGCTTGGGAGGTCTCCTTCCATGAGAAAGTGAAGCTTCCAAATTGGGAAGTTGCTTGAGCATACAGTTAGAAGAGGGAGGGACCCCTTGGAATTTGTCAAGGTCTCCCTCCTAGGAGACTGAGCAGGGGGAGGTGGAGCCCCATTAAGTGAAACATCAGTAACAGGAGGGTGGGTATCATGGAGATCATGATGAGGCAAGAATGCAGGTGGGCACCCCAGTTCTGCTAACTATTGGTCCTGTGTTTTCCCATCACAGCCAAGAAGCACTGCTACACCTGCCGTGGGACCCCAGCTGGAGGGCCCAGAGCACCAGGCACCCCTCACCTATTTCCCGTGGCCTCAGCCCCTTTCCACACTGCCTGCCTCCAGTCTGCAGTACCAGCCTCCAGCCCCAGCCCTGTCTGGTCCCCAGTTTGTCCAGCTTCCCATCTCTATCTCAGAGCCAGTCCTTCAGGACATGGATGACCCCAGAAGGGCCATCAGCTCCCTGACCATTGACAAGCTGCTTTTGGAGGAAGAGGAAAGCAACACATATGAGCTCAACCACACCCTCTCTGTGGAGGGCTTTTAGGGATGCCTTGCATCCAACAGCCCTTTCCCTCGAAACTGAGATTTCAAATGAGCCCAGATGGAGCCTAGACTCCTGTTTGAAACGGCTCTTCCATAGGTACCCTTTCTGCCCAAAGTTGAATTGTATTCTTTCCTTTCTCTACCCCCACATCTCCCTCCTTTCTTATTTCTTTGTCCAGTTTTCTTCCTCTGGAGGGGGAATTATAGTGATATGATGAACAAAATCTTATACTGAATGTCACCAAGTCTGCAGCTCAGAGTTTCCCTTTGCTGTCATATCATCAGAGAAGTGCCCTTCTCTCAGGTGCCCCTGGCTTTCTGGTAGCATTATAGATCTACTCTAAGATCACTTACACTCTCTGCCATTCTAAAATGCACAGGGTCCCACAGGGACACCAAAGCCACCAGCACCTCCCTGCTGAGTCAGCCAAGGACAGATGCTCTCAGATCCCACAGTTCTGTTTTGTGTTGTTTGCTCTTCCCAGCCTTGGCTAGTCTGAGCAGGTTAGAGGGGCTGATTAGAGGGGGTGGGACAGGACTATCAGGCTGGATAGGGATGGTCAGTAGATGATGGGAGATCCGGCTGAGGAGGAGCAGAATCATACATGTAGTGTGTCTGTGGTTAGAGAGCTAGTGAGGAAGGGGAGACTGAGGAGTGATCTAACTCCATCTGCAACCGACTTTGAAAAGAATGCCACTTTAACTTGGTTCAGCTGGTCTTCTCCCCAGTAATTGTGAGCAAAGCTGGGTGTGGTCATTAAGATAATGATGAGTCCATCTGTTTCAGCCTGGGCTGCAGGCCCTCTAACACCATGCCAGCACTTAAATTGCCTTTGTCAAGGTATTGTCATAGCAACAGGAAAAGAAACAGGTGTTCCCGGAAGCCCAACAGTGAGGAGGGTATCCATTTAGTCCTTCCATGTGGGCTTTTTTTTTTTTTTTTTTTTTTTCAAATCGTGAATCATCCATCAGCCACCATGAAGTGGCACCAAGGGCTCTTTCATCCAAGGACCATCCTCCTCAGTGTTCTAGCGTCCCAGTCAGCAGGCCAATTAGGTTTCATTTCAATTTTTGTTTTATTTTTGCTGGAGAAGCAAAACATTTGCTATAGAGCGTTTTGCTGTTTCCGGGGCATTCTGCTCCTGAATTAGATGTGCCTTGGGGCTTGGCAGGCAATTTGCTAATGGTGCCATCACCACATGGACACACTTTAGTCTGTAGAATCCATGTTAGAGGTAATAGACATTTCCTGAAAATGACAGTTTCTTTGATACTCCACCCCCTTTTTGTTTCCATTTTCAATGAAAACTCAGAGAAAGCCATCTGTCTTTTTTTTTTTTCATGCTTTGTGTTTATTTTGACTCAGATTTCTCAGTATCTATCTAAAATCCTGGTGTGCTCATCTTGAATTATTTGTATTCCTCCTTAATATTTAGACTAAATGAATGTTAGATTCTAGATGATAAGTTTACACTTGCATTGGTAGTTACTGTAAACAAGAAGGGAGGGGGATGCCCTGGCCTATTTAGTTAAGGCCCTGTTGCACAGAAAAACACTATTCAAGATTTTCCAGCTACTTGAGGGTTTGAGAAGAGGCAGGAGTGGCATTGACAAAGGAGTTAATGCTGGGAAACAAACAGCAAAGAAAGCAGTGTGAGCATTTGCTAGGGTTGAACTGGTATCTTTCCCCTTCTTATCTTGAGACCTTAAGTCTTAGCTGCAGGCATCCACCAGATCTCCTTCCAAGTTATTCTACTCAGATGCACCATTTTAAATAAAGATTTGTAGAAGACTTCTCCTGGCCTAAGTGTTTTATTTCTTATCTGATTAATCCCTCTTGTCTCTCAGTCCTCCGACAGTGTCATTAGAGGAAGAAGTTCACTATAGTCTTGTTGATCTAGCAAACTGACCTGTTCCAGGAGCAGGTAAAAGCTGTCCTTAGGGTGCTGGTTGGGCAATTCTCACAGGAGAGCATACATGTAGTTGGATTTGTTCTCCATGGCAGTGGAGCCTGAAGGGTGGGAGAAAATCTGGCTGGCTATTGCCCTTCCTGTTATCTGTGTTACATGAATAATGTCTCTTGATGCTTGGCATCTGGGGTCCTGCCACAGGCATTCTCTGTGAAGCCATCAGTAAAGGCCCTGGAACATGTGACATAAAGGGAAACCTGAGAGTCGTACCTCCCCCATCAGTGAGTAACACTTTTGGAGGGGTCTCTTTTGGTGATTTTTTAAAAAAGTTGCAATCTTAGTTTTTTTTTTTATATTGATTTACTTATTTTTAGCTTCTGAGTTCACTGCCTTCATTGTTAACCCATATTGGAGTCATTGTTGTAAGTTATCAACATAATTCTGCTATATAACTATTTCCAGATACCAGAACCACTTGAACAATCAGCACCATTATTCTTTCTGCATATTTATGGACAACTTAGAAAAAAAAAAGTCAGGGAATTAAGGGATTTGATGGGAAGAGAGAGAGGCCAGCTCAGTATAGGCTGGTATTTCTCAGGATTCTCAATGAAGCTCTCTATGCTCTTCAGCCTGAAAGTAGCCAGAGGCAGACAAGTGTTGGTCAGATAGAGCTGGCCGCACAGAAAGAATCAAAGTCAAAGTGACCCCAATTCTTTTGAGTACCCGGCTATATTGACCTTTAAGGGACAGTTTGAAGATAAGTTCTCTCTCTCTCTTTCTTGTCTGTCTGTCTGTCTGTCTGTCTGTCTGTCTGTCTGTCTGTCTGTCTGTCTCTGTGGGTCTCTGTCTCTGTCTCCCTCTCTCTCTCTCTCTCTCTCTCTCTCTCTCTGTGTGTGTGTGTGTGTGTGTGTGTGTGTGTGTGTGTGTGTGTGTGTGTGTGTGTGTATACACACGAGAGCACACAGGTGCCTGTGAAGGCCACAGAGGTCAATATAAGTGTCTTCCGAAATTGTTGTCCACTTTATTATGTTGTGAGGCAGGAGTTCACTGATTCAGCCAGAGCAGTTGGCCGTAACCTTTTAGCAATGCTCTTGTCTCTGCCTCTTCAGTGCTAATAAGATTATTGGTGCTTGCAGCTTGGACCTGGTCTTTTCTGAGGGTGCTGGGGATTTGAACTGGGGTTCTCAGCCTTGCAGTAAGTACTTGCTGACTGAATTATCTCCTCAGCCTCTAATCTTAAACTCAAGGGGCTTGTTGTTGTTTGTTTGTTTTTGACAATAGAAAGCACAGTTATCCTTCTAACTTGTTTTGTTTTACTTTTTAAATTCATTTACTTAATTTGTGAGCAATTCAATGATTCCCCGTTGAACTGGGAATTAATCAGGGTGGTTTCCTGTCAGCTCTTCCTAAATATTGATGAAGATGCTTGTAAATTGATTGTCTGGCATCTTCTTATTGAACCATAGATGCAGACTACTGCTCAAATGTCTTCTCTGCATGCTTGGAGGAACACATCATTAGCTGGTGTCCTTAGCCTGCCTGTCAGTTCTTCAGCTCTGGGTGCTGTGGGAGAGGGTTTTTTTTTTTTATTTGTTTGTTTTATTTTGTTTTTCTTAGATTTTCCCCAGTTGCTATTTCTTTTTTAATTAATTAGATTGATTCATTTATTTTACATCCCGATTGCAGTTCCCCTCCCTCCTCTCCTCCCATTCTTCTCCCCCACCCCCTCCCCCAATCCACTCCTCTGTTTCTGTTCAGAAAGGGGCAGGGCTCCCATGGGTGTCAACAAAACATGATTAAGTTGAGGTAGGACTAAACTCCTTCCCTTGTATTAAGGCTGGGAAAGACAACCCAGTATGAAGAGATTTTATTCATTCATTTAACCCATTAGAAGTTTAAAAACTTTATAGTAAGTTAATAATTTATCATTATATGAATTGATGGTGTGCAAAGTGTTGTTATAGTAATTCAAGTTAATTAACATCTGTCACCTAATCTCCTTTTTGTGGTGAGGATATTTGAAACTTTCAGTAATTTTGAAATGTAGAATTTCACTATAATTGACAATATTTACCACATTCTGAAATAGATCTCAACACTGCATTTCTCACGTCGTACCCACTGGCTATCAGCCCTCTGAGGCCAACATATTCTGCCTTCTGCATTTATAAGTTTGATTTTTTAAATATATTTTTTTCTTATAAATGAGAAATACTGGATCTGCCCCTCTGTTCCTGGTTGTTCTCACTTAGCTTAATGTTTTCTAGTTTTATTCATGGTGTTGCAAATGACACATTTTCCTTTTCTTTAAGGCCTGAATAGTAGTATTCCTTATGTATAGATACCTCACTTGGTTTTTACCCCTTCATCTGTTGATGGACACTTAGGATGGTGCTGCAGCGTGGCCACAGTGGACTGTAGTCATCAAAGAAATATTCATTTCAGATCTCCTTGGTAAAATTTGGGATTGTTGGATTATGTGATTCTAGTTTTAGTCTTTGAAGGAGCTCCATCCAAATTCCCAGAATTCCCTTTGCAGTTTGTATCACCATCCTTGATGTACAGGGCTTTCTTCCTCCACATACTTGCCAACACTTATCTTTTTTCTTTTTGATGGTAGCCTCTCTGAGTGGTATGAACTAATGTCTCACTGTGGTTTCCATTTTTATTTCACTAATAATTAGTAAAGTGAACATGTTTTCATGAATCTGTTTGCCATGGATACATATTTACTTTTAAGTGAGTCTGTGGTAGACAGGCATAGTGAATCACACAGCTATCTAGTTGAAGTATTTTTCCTTAAAAAAATGTTTGTTATATTAGCCCTTTGTGTGTGTGTGTGTGTGTGTGTGTGTGTGTGTGTGTGTGTGTGTGTGTGTGTGTGTACTGTTCTAGCACTTGGGAACAAAGGCAGGAGGAGTAGTAATCCAAGTTCATCTTCAGTTACACAGTGAGTTTTAGGCTAGGCTGGGCTACAGGAACCCTCCCCCCACACACAATTTTGAACTATCTTAGGTGTAGTGGACCCTGCCTGTAATCTTAACACTTGAGTGGCTGAGGCAGAAGGACTGCCTTGAGTTAGAGGGTAACCTGGGTTACATAGTGAGTTCTAGGTCAACTTGGGCTACAGAGTGAGACCCTGTTTTGAAACCAAAAGATCTTTGTAATTTTCCCATCTGAATACTTGGGTTCAACTTCATTTGATTTTGGTACTTTTAGCAGATGCCATAACTGAAAATGGTGTCATGGAATGATACTTATTTCCAAATAAAAATAGTGTATCATTGACTATATTAGGTAATTAATAAAACCATTAAATCCTTTCCATCAGTTCCATGCAAATGCTTTATTTTGAAATTGACTAATGACTTTCCATTTTTACTAGGGTCAACCAGTCTTGAAAACCCCTCGAAGATGTCATATCCATACATACATCCAAACATTTTTTCAATATGCGTGTACATGTGTACAGTGTGTGTAAGTTTGTGACTGGGAATGGCACAAGTCTTTTGAAAGACCAAAGCTCTATCCCAATGACATACTTCCTCTACCACAGTCATACCTCCTAATCCTTCCCAAACAGTCCAACCAGTTGGGGACCAGGTATTCAAACTCATGTGCCTATGGGGAGCATTTTCATTCAAACCACCACAACTTCCTTCCTTTTTGATCAATTTTAAAATTGAAAATAGATTTCTTTTTTATGCAATATGTTCTGATCATGGTTTACCCTCCTCCAACTCTCCCCAGATTCTTCCCACCTCCTTACCCACCCAAATACACACCATTTTTTTTTTCTGCATAAGACCCATGCAGGTCTAAGCTTTTTTTGGTCTCTTTGAATAACAGAGAATTAGTATTAGTTCCTTAACTATTCAGTAAAACTCAGTGATGAGACTGTATGATCCTTGGAGACTGTTACTGGTTCAGTTTTGTGACTGATGATTCGTCTATTTAGATTTTTTTATTTACTCATTTCTAGGAATTTGACAGTGTCTTTTAAGTTGTCAAATTTGTTGGCATACCTTTGTCTAGAGGAAGAGCTCCTGGCAATCAATGACTGCTGAAATCAGTCTTCTCCAGGGATGAGCACCCAATTGTTTATCTAATTTGTTTATCTAAAGCAAAAGGTAACCCTAAGGAGAAGCTCGAAATGGTCTCAGTGTCTCAGGAGGGGTGTGTGTGTGTGTGTGTGTGTGTGTGTGTGTGTGTGTGTGTGTGTGTGTGTGTTAATAATAAAGAAGCAGCCATAGATTTTGAGAAGGAGCAAGGGGTGCAGACATGGGAGGAGGGAAGGAGGAAATCATGAAAATACAATATTTGTACAAAATTCCCTTTAAACTATAAATGAAAAGAATGGGGGCATATGGTAATCTGTGATGACACTTTATGTGTCTATGGTGTGAGTCCCACGTTCTTATTGTTCATTTGTGATTTTGAATTTTCCTTATCCTTTATGCTTCGATTTAAGAGTTTGTCTCTTTAGTCTTTTTGAAGCACAAGTCCTCTGGTTCACTGACCTTTTGTGTTTTTTTTTTAAGTCTGTTCAAATTATTTCCACTCTGATATTTATTAGTTCTTTCACTTTACTAATTTGAGGTTTAGTTTATCCTGATTTTTCTTGTTACTTATGCTGGAGAAGGTGGCACATTCTCAGTCATCCAAATACACAACTGATCAGAGTTCCGCTCCAGGGCTACATAGAAAGGGCTTCTAGTTAGCTGCTGAAGGGGTGGAGACCTTGTCAGTGTTAGGAAGGGAGGAATCACTGAGCCTATTACAGGAGAATACCACGGATAACATCCCAATCACTTAACGAGCATTAGCAACTCATCCTCACTGTGACGTGTATGGTGTGGCTCTGCC